ATACAAACAGACATAACAGTTATTTGAAAGTTGTAAGGCTTAACAACTTCTGTAAGAGTTCCTTTTATATGAATAACACAAGTTTCTGGTTTTCAGTGAAAGAGCTTCATGCACATAGGGCTGCTGCCGGACATGAGTTAGGTAATTTGTGCTGCTGCAAGAAGTCAAAGCAGCCAGGCTCTGGCATTCAGAGCAGGGCAATCAATTCATTTCCAAGGTAAAAAACATACCTAAAGGGAAATACGATGTTGTCATTGCCACAGAATTCCTGAGACCAACAATCTTGTGAGATTCAAAACACAAGGAAAAAAAAACAACCACTAAACAACAGTAGCTTGATGCATTAGAGGACACAATGATTATTTCTAAACAGGAACAGATATTCCAAGTAAGAGTTATTTAGGCTCCCTGTCAGGCCTTGCTATTCTCGCCAGGACCTGCTTAAAAAAAGTACTCTTTTGGCTTCGTTGTTTGAATCTCATATATCAGTGCTTTATTTTTGTGATATTTCACAAAAATATTTTGTGAATTTTTTTTTTTTAAACTGGATGGAAGTATTTTAGATGCTATTTTGGGTAGTTCTCAATCTGAAAGTAGAATAAGGTTCAGTTCACTGTTCCTTTTAGAGCATGTACTGTCTGTGTGGCAAAAGTTTTCTGCATGTGACAATTATGGAGAAATCAGAAACAGCACACTGCATTAATAATGTCTTGGGATCCTAAATGAAAGAAGGACTAAAATCTTTCAAATTAGTTCATTTAAAATTTAAAACAATAATTTGGTGTGTGTGTGCAAAGCAGGAGAATTTAGGTGTTTTGTTTGCTCACAACACTATTTCCTTACTAAGCGAAATTTCACCACAGCTTTAGGTTCCTTAAACTCAGTATTTCTCACACTTGTTTATACAGCCCTGCACAGCAATACTGTTAAGTGTCCAGAGCTCTTTGATGGCCCTTAAACCTGAGTTGTCAGCCTCCACGTTTTAGATTTATAACTGCATGTTCCATCATCCTATGTTTTAAAAACTGTAATGGGTAAATGAAAAGGAATAACTATTTGCATTAGAATGGAGTTCATCTCCTCAAAATGATGAGCAGAATCATCTTTGGAAAAAACAGTTAAAAGCAATTCAATCCTCCTCAGTATTGTCCAAATGCTTAAAGGATTTGGAGCAAAAAGCATTAAGTGATTGTGTCCATAGTTCTCTGAAGTACCTGCATTTCTACATTACCTCCTGTACAATTTTTTATCACTGGCAAACTCGGTCATCTTGTGTTTTCTCACCCTTTCCCCATTCCTCACCCTTCCAAAAGCTTCAGCATGTCTGTGTGGTGTGACAGGCTCCCCAGCAGGAATGTCTCATGAGACTTTCTGAAGCCACCAGGTTTTTTTTTCTGGCCTTATCTTGGTTAAAACTTTGTCTTTAAATCACAAACTTGGCCTCACAACATCTACCACAGCAGGTTTCCTGCTTCTGATGTTTTTGGAAGAGGTTTCACAATTACTTTTTATACCATTACCAACATTTTCCTTGAAATGCTTTTGGCCTGCTTTTTACAGTTTTACGTTTAGATTGCCAGAGCTTTTGCTACTTTCTGTTTCCCTCATCTGAACACAACATTTTAAGAGTGCTTTTTTACTACTATCCGTTACTCTCCTGCAGAGCTCCACTGGTCTTCAGCCGTTCCTTCCAGAAGCTTCGATAGTTGATAGACACAGTTGATAGGCTCAGCAATCCTAACGCAGGTCACTTTCCCCTTTGGCTCTTACTTTTAATTTGCTTCTGACAAGCTTACTTGACGTCTTGCAGCCATCTTTTCAAAGTTCACTGTTCCTACGGTAAATTTATTTGTTCCCTTTCACTTCTACAAAGGTGTTGAATTTGAATGTATTGTGATCAAGATTCTAGAATGCTTCTTTGATACAGAAGCCTTCTGCCCTACTTCATTCAAACCAAGAGGTCTCTGAGCTTCTCTAATGAATTGAATTTAAAATTGGCGTAATATCCTATGGCAATATTTATCAAGCCCAGAGAGAACTGATCTCTCTTCACTCTGGCCATCACACCTTTCTAATTTCCCTGCCACAAAAAAGGTAGATACATGAGCTTTTTTACCATTAGTAACAAAGAACCAGGACAGAGGGAAACTTTAAGTCTGAAAATTCAGGCTTCAAGGTTTTAGAGTGAACAGTTGCTCCTTTTGATTAATTTCCTCTGGTTTATTGATTTGAAGAACCTGAAGAATTGTTAACCATTGAGCTGTTATGTTACCTCTTACATCTGTGACCCCAACGACATCTATTCCCAGCTTTTCTGCCCTAGTGAGCTCTTTTGCCTGAAATTGTTAAAGTTTTGAAATCTGTATTTTTCTTGAGTCTAAAGTTTATGCTGTTAATGAACATCTCAGGAAGCTAGATGGAGGGAGTCCTAGATAATAGGAGTAGCAGGAAGCACATAAGGAATCACCTGGGGAGCAGGTTTAAATGTTTGAGTCCTTGCTTGACTTAAATGTCATTGCCTAAAAGTCTCTAACTGCTTTTGAGTCTGGTAACAAAATCCTGGCAAAGACCACCGTTTCTGGTTCAATGATAATAACACACAACACTGCCATTGCAAATAATACCTTTTATGATCATGTGGTATTTTAGATAATACCCTGAATGGTAGCCATGTTTATAGTTTTTATATATACCATTGGATTTCAGTGACCAGAAAAAGACTCATGGAGCTTTCTTAAGTTGATTAACTAATTAACAATACTGAGGCTGGTGAAGCGCAGCATCAGTGACAGTGACATCTGCCAGTAGAGCTTAGGAAGCATCTGTAAATGAGAATCTGCAGTTACCAACTGTTCAACATTGTTACATATTTCTCTACCGAATTCAACAGTAAATTATGAATGTGCATTGCTACAATATCATTTCTTGCAGACTGTTAAGGAAGATCAAAATTAACTCCCAAATTAGAATTAGTGAGGGGCATCTATAACTCTCCCATATATATTGTAGAACTCACATGTAGTATGGTAACTAGGGAAAATATGGTTATTTATGATCATTCTGTAATTCGCAGGATCCTTCTCTGCCATCTCTACAATTCTCTCTTATTTAGTGATCTTTTTCCTCAGTATGCAAAACCAGTGCACTTAACTTGCAATTTTAACCTAAGGATAATTAAAAAATAGGCGGAACAAGATGGTACTAACATACCAATAAAATACCAGTCCTATGAGAGCCCTTTATCTCCACAAACATTACCTAAGGCAAACTGCAGGGACCAAACTTATCAACTAGCACCAGTATAGGGAGTTGTATGCTAAACTCCTTCCTTCTGCCTCTGGCCTGCTTGATTCCAGGTGTGGAGCATTTGCCACACCTCCAGCAGCTGGTAAGGCTTAACCTAACAGCTGTGCTCTTCCTCTCAGATCCCTAATTCCAATGTCTTCATCTGTTTTCTCTAAGCCTTTGCTAGCTGGTTAGTCAGTGTCCCCTGCAGCCTCCAAGAGAATCACCAGAGATGAGCCTGCTCCTTAACAACCCCTTAGGCTAGTCAATCTTCCAGAGCCTTTTCTGCCTTTCTGACTCTGTACGATGGCAACGCTCCATTACCAGGAATGTTAGATGGGTTTATTAAAGTGAAAATGTGCACTGAAAAGCAAAGGAAAACATCCCTTTACAAGTAAAGCTTTGTACAGCACAGGCCTGAAGACTGACTTTGATAGCACATGGCAGGTTTGTCACCCTGCAAATTTTAAATTTGTATTTTATTTAAAATAAGTGCAGTATTTTATTAACGCCCCCCCCCCCCTTTTTTTTTTTTTTTTGTAAGGCTCTTTTTGATGTCCATGATGATGTTTGGCTCACTGAAGCAGCATATTCAGCTTTAAGTCTTTGGGTTCTCAAAGCACCAAAAAGAAAATGGAAGTAGACATTTTATAACCAAATGAGGCTAGAATACAGGAAAGAGAAGAAGATGCAACAGTTGGCAGTATCAGGCTAAAACAGTGTTTGGGTTCAGGCAGCTGAACGGTGTAGAAATGCAGTAACAGTGGCTACAGTGACATAACAAATGGAGAAAATTGAGGATTAAAAATGTAAGTGCAGTGGATATAAAAATAACATCTTGCTCAAACAAAACAAAAAACCCACGTGGATAAAGCATCAGATGACATACTGCTATGATAAAGAGGAAATGTGCAGGATCATTAACAAATGTATTAACATCAGTGAAATGAGACAGCAAAGAAAAATGTATTTTTTAACTGTGAGAGTTTCTATCCCCGCACACCCCACAGCTGTCTCAGGGCTGAGGTCCACCTCACAAGCAGGCTGTACTTTTGCAGAGAGGTGAATGGACTTTTTCCAGACACACTGGCCCATACCTTACTTGTTCTGCAAGAGACTTCGATACAGTACAACTTAAACAAAAACAGTTGTCCTTTACATACGGTTTCTTCACCTTAGGAAGAAGCTATTTGATCACAGTGCCGTGTAACCTTCCTTGAGAAATCGTGCGGTATAATTTGTACTCTTTCCATTGTGCGCCAAAGCAGCCTGGGCCGAGGCTTCCGGCGGGTGCTGCTGGCTGATCGCAGAACCAGCGCCCTGATTAGACAGGCCTGCGCTCCTACTGATGCTGTTCTGCTGCGCGGCTTTGCCGGGCGAGCGCCGTGCCTTCAGCGCCGCTGCCCACCGAGGTCCGAGCGCTCCGTGCCTCAGAACCTTCGCGAGCCCGTTACCGCTGAGCCGGGCCGAGCCGCACCGCACCGCACCGCACCAGTGCCGGCGGTGCAGAGCCGCCCGGCCGGCCGTGAGGCGCCCGACGGAAACCGCCGCCCGCCCCGCCGAGCCGCCGCCGGGCGCCCTACGGCCACGGGCGGCAGGGGGGCGGCGGGGCGAGGCGGAGCCCGGCGGCCGCCCCGCCTCCATCCTCGGGGATGCCGGGATGTTTACGGGCCCGGCAGGAGCGGCGGGGGGCGGAGAGGAGGTCGGGGCCGCAGCGGGCGTCCGAGCCGGCGGCCAGCAGCCCCGCTAGGCGCCTGCCGCGAGCCGCGGCCCGGCTCCGGCTGCCGAGAGGCCGGAAGAGGTGAGGCCCGCCCCGCGCCGGGAGCAGACGAAGGCAGTGGCGGGTTCCCGGTGAGCGGGGCGCCGCGGGGCCGGGGCGAGAGGCGCGGGGCTGAGCCCGCCCGCCCGCCTGGAGGCGCTCCCCCCGCTGAGTCGCGCGGGCGTACCGCGGGGTCCCGCCTCTCGCCGCCTCGTATTGGTCGGTGGGGCTCGTTCTCGCGGCGCTGTTGGGCGGCGCGGCTGCCGCTCCCTCCGTCGTAAGGGGAGGGAGCGGTGTGGGCCGGGGAGAGAAACTTTCTGCGGGCGGGGGTGGGATGGTGGCGGGCAGTAACCGGCCCGGGGCTGCCTTCGTTCAGTCGGCGCCTGCGGGGCGGCGAGGGGCGTCGCGGCGGCTCTTGAGGAAGCGGCTCCCTGGGGTCGTGGTGGGCCGAGGTCCCGCAGCGGCTCCCGGGTTACTCGGGAGCCGGGGAGAGGCGGGGGCGGTGCGGCCCCAGGCGGGGCGCCTCGGGCTGGACTCCTCGGGTAGTGTCGCGGAAGGAGCAGCCGCTCGTGGTGTCTCTCGGCGTTTCCTTGCGGTTGCCCGTCCCCTCTCGCCTGGCTCCTCTCGCCTGGCTCCTCTCGCCTGGCTGCGGGCCGTGTCCGGCGCAGGTGCTGTGCTGCTCTCGGCCTGCCGGCTCCGCCTTGGGTTGGCTGCGCTGTGCTGAGGCTGCCGGGCGTGGGCGGCGTGGCTGTGTGAGACCAGGAGAAGCAGGCCTGCTGAAAAGCGCTGGGAGCGGGGCATCCTCTGTCAGTATAAAATAATAATAATAAAAATTAGATCGGTAAATATCTTTTCCCCGTGGCTTCGTGTTTACCTTGCACAGTGCCCGATTTTGGTTCTGCATGCACCTGTTCCGAGTTTTGGCTTGTGTCTGTACAGACTGTCCCTTCAAAATAGATGCTCTTCTTTGGAACTTGAGCTTTTGCTTTGCGTTTCATGAGAGGCATCAATTCTGCCTTGCACGACGTAACTGTCACAGCACTGTTTTCTCAGATTGAATGGTAGCGTTATTTTTCAGGTCATGCATGCGTAGTAACTTCATTGACTGGATGTCTTTCCTATACGTAGTTATGTGACTAGTCTGAAGTTACAGTGGACAACGTATTGCTCCATAAGGGAGGCACTTCAGTGAGATAGATGTCATGTGGATATTTGCAACTCCACTAAATTGTAAGACTGAAATTTTAAAACATGTTCCATTTGTTGCTGCTTTGGAAACAGCTTAGAGTTGCAGTACTATAGAGGTGTCTGCATTTAAAGCTTTTGACTCGTGCTGCTGCGAGAGGGATGAAATGCAGTAGAATGCTCTGATTAGTTCATGTGCTCTAGAAAACAGGAGAAAAGAAGGGTAAATTGTTTTTTTTTGTTGTGGAAAGAGGGAAGTTTGCAAGTATCATCAAGCAGCTTTAAAGTAAGAATTTAAAGCCCTGCAGTGATATATATTTGATACTGGAAGGAAATAACACAAAAGCACACTTGCAAGTTCTTTAATTTCAAAGTATTCAGGATGTTTTATTTAGAAGTATCTGATGTTTGGGTAGATGGATTTTCAAAGCATGCTCAGAGACTTTCAGTGGAAGGATAGAGATACTGCTTTTATGGTAGATACCTTGTATTCAACATAAAAATTAAAATAAAAAAATGGATGTAAAATAAAAAAAGGAACTTTAGTCCACTGAAAATCTGTTTTTGATTGACTTACTGTTGTGCCTTCCAGGGTCTACAAGAAATAGGCAAATGGAGTCTCATGACTGTAGTGGAAATTCCTTCCAAAGAAGGAAGAATAAGTACAATTTTAGAGTTGTTTAGCTGAAGACATATGAGTATATGAGAAACTCATGTGAAAGATTTATCCTAAGACAGTCAAAAAAGAGTACATGAAGTCAGTCGGTGGTTTTGCTATAACATGTGGTATCCTCTGAATTGTCAGAGCCTGAGGTACACCTGTATTTTCCTTTTATTGTGCCAAAGTTGAGCTGAATGTAGTTAGCCTGCTGTATTTGTTCATGGAGATGCTCTGGGGAGGCAGTTTGCCCATGCATGTGAAAAATGCATATTTAATAGACTGAGTATAGGATCTTGCCTTCACATTAGTTCTGCATTTGGTTGTATCGCTGTAGTGGAAATGCTAAGTCATGGCCTGAGATGGTGATTGAGCACCTGGTGGGAAGGCAGGGCCAACCCAAGGGAGCTCAGGTGCATGCAGTGTACCTGGGTGACTTGGAAGGGTTGGAGCCAGGATCTACTCATTCCCAGACATCATTTAAGGGCTGGCAGTGGAGGGAAGGGCACCTCTTGCTACAGATCTGTGCCTACCTGAGGCCTTTCAAAGGTAAGCAGTTCTTTTTCTTTGTTTCTGCTGCATTTGGACACACCACCATCGGTCCCTTGTTGTCTTTGGAAGATTGACAGTCTTCCAAACATCTGTGCTGAATGGTTGAATTCTCCTGATCTTGGTAATTTTTTGGGGAAAAGGTGACCTGTAGTAACTTCTAATGTTCATTATTTGCAGCTTATCCGGAGGTCCCTTCTGATTCCCAGGAAGTAGTGCTTAGAACTGACAAGGAGGGGAGATATCCTTGCAAAGGTTAATGCTGTGAATAGTCATAGGAGTTTATCGGTGATTAAGTTCAAGAAAAATTGTTCAGTTCAGCTGTGTTGTATACAGTGTACACCAGAGATGAAAATAATGTTGGAATTCCAAAGTGGTGATGGGGGCAGCCTTTAGAGCACTCATTTCCTGTATTTATCTTGGTTTGAACCCTGCTGGCCACGTAGGAAGTACTTCAGCCTTGCAGTGCAGTACAGCATCACTCTCCGTTGCCTTCTTAAGAAACTACTGAAAGGATTGTTTTTGTCAGGCTGTCTAAAAAGCAGAACAGAAGCAATACTGCTAGAATATGTACCTTTTCTGTTAAAGATAATCCCATGTGTGTCTGAAACGTAAGTGCAATTCAGCTTCCGTTTCTGAAGTTAGAAAGCAGTGTATTTCAAGTGCCATTATTGCCTATGGGGCAGGCAGAACACATGTGCTTACGTATGGGAGTTTGTTAGAAAAAAAAACACAAGATTCTGAAAAGAAGAACTTGTAGGAAAATAGTATGCATGTTTGAATCTTACTGTGCATAGTTTAGCTCTCTGATACCAGTGACTTCTCACTGCTGATTATAGGTACCAATTCAAATAGACTATTTAATTCATGTGGCATTTGGGAACTTACATTCAAGGCTCTTTGCTTTAATCTGCTTGGGATGATTTATAACACAGTTATTACTGTTATATTTAGTAGCTGGACGAGATTAATTGCTTTACATTGCCTTGGAAGTTCAGCATGTGGCTGAGATGTTTGTCTTTGGGAGAAGCGGAGCCAGCTGCTACACTGTTGATGGTCTGGTCCTTTTCAGTTCATTTTAATCCTCTGTCGCAAAGCTATTGATTCCTTGAAAACTGGAAGGCAAAAATATCACAGGTAAACTTCATGTTCAATCTATAATAAGGAAGTAGAAGCTTGCAGTTTGAAAAGGCATAGCGTTTGGCCTGTAGAGGCCCTTCTTCTGTACCCTTTTCTTCCTCATCTGAAAACAGATCCAAAAAAGGAGTTGTCTTCACAGCAGTGAATTTCCAATACTTGCCGTGAGTGGAATTCAGAACTCTGTGTTAGGTGTGTGGGCTGCTTGTGAGGTTCGTGGACACAACCGGGGCTCGGGAGCAGGAGCTGCGAGCAGCCTGTGTACACCGCACTGCACAAACAATTAGTCATGGAGGAGACTCCAGAAGCAGCAATGGATCTTGCAGATTTTTGCTGGCGGAGGTTAAATGTAAGATACAGAAACAGCTGTGAAGCTTTGCATTGTCCTGCAGAGGTGAAGTGTCTGGCTGCTGGTGCTCTGCTTCTGGGCCTGGGGATCTCACACCAGTCACTGCAGCTGTGGGAGCTGTGGAGTAGGAGGCGGTGTGAGAGGATCCTGAAAAACTTCTTGAGTCTGGCTGGTATTCCTGCTCCCATTCTGTGTGCTGCTTCATTTCATCGTCTTGGAGGTAGCTTAGGTTTTAAATTGTGTACTGAAGTTATGTTTTAAAGAGAAAGGGCATCTCATCACCCTGCCCATGTGTTGGCCTGGGGAGGGTTAGGTTTTAAGGGTTTCCAATCACATCTTAACTTCCTTTCTCTGAAAATCTTGTGGTTGTTTTTTTTTTTTTTTTTTTTTTTTTTTTTTTTTTTTCAGTTGGACTTGTTACCATATGTTTTGTTTCCTGCTCCTGCATACCTGCATGGTATTTTGCAGACAAAACTCTTGGCTTTCTACTGAATAACTTGTGTTCTCTCTGTGTCGGCTGCCTTCCTGTTATTATGTGTGGTTTTTTTTTGTTTGTTTGTTTTGTTTTTTTAAATCATTTGATACTTTTTATCATCTGTACCTAAGGCTGAACTAAAATGAAATGTGAGCTAATGCAGTTACTCACTGTTGCCAGAAGGAAGATGTTCATTTCCCTCTGATCTCTCCCTTGTTTCCTATCTCTGCTCTTGCTCAGCAGACCGAAGGCTCTGGCAGCCTCCCCTGTGCCTCGTTCAGCGTGTGTTGCTTGTGGAGCGTGGGCCTGGCTGCATTTGGGGCTGAACCAGCTCAGCAAACGTTCTGGGGTGGTCAGGATGGCTAAGCAGGATCGTGTGCAAAAGAAAGGAAGACCTTAAGTGCTTGTGAGCTGTTAGATTGGCTTTGTGCTTGAGGAGTAATTTGACCAGAGGTTTAACTGATGTAAGTTAGGGCTGCTCTGTCCCCAGCTGCATCTTCCCGTCTCTTTTCTGCTATCACAATTCCGTCCTTGTGTCTACAAGGGGAAAGATTTGAAGAACTGATCTGGAGAAAAAATGGAGTTGCCTGACAGGGTTGGTTTGTGGCTGGTCCAGTAAAGGAACACTGGTTCCTCCCAGGGCAGGGAGCAGGGCCTGGCGTGTGTGGCTGAGGGGAGGGAGGGAGGTG